AAGCGATCAAATGAAAACCACCATCATTTGTACAAACCATACAAACCACCTTCATACATCGATTTCATTGTTTAATCTTATGAATTTTTTTAATGAAATTGTTTAATTTTGTGAAATTGTTTCATATAATTTTTTTTTGATGAATTTGTTTCATATATGGTTATGAAATTGTTTCATATAATACTTTTTTTTTGATGAATTTGTTTCATATATGGTTATGAAATTGTTTCATATAATATTTAATGAAATTTTAATGAAACTGTTTAATGTATTTCTCTGAAATTAAAATAATGAAGATGATAATATCCATGATTAACACCCTCCACAATAAAAATGGTTAATCAAAATCTCATAATTACAAAAAAATGAACATAATAAAAAAATTATGATTGGTTGAATGTGGTTTTTACGGTTTGTACAAATTGAGTGATTTTTATTTGAATGTTCCCCTCTCTATCTCTCTCTCTCTCTCTCTCTCTCTCTCTCTCTCTCTATATATATATATATATATATATACTTGAGATCATGTTAGACCAAGAGTTTTTATGAGATCCGTAAAACCAATTCTCAACCCTTGGATTATATCTACAATCTGAACATTCATAATTACAAAATTGCCACGAGACTTTTCAATAATCACAAAATTGTTACCATACAACTTCAGACCATTAGATCATTAGTTTATAAAGTTGATCAATGAACATAAATTAGTGGGTCTCACATGAACCCAACCCTATATATATATAAGTTGTTTATCTTAATTTCTTTTAAATAATATTAGTTTTTGTAATTATATATGATGATAAAAGAATAAGTTAGCAAGCATATCTATTTTGACTTGATGTAAAAATGAATTTAAAAATAAATATTTATTTATATATATAATAAATATAAAAAGGATCATGGGGATTGAAATGGCAAGTGGTGGGAGCCACAAAAATCCTGAGAGGAGATACAGGTGATGTAAGTTGTGAAATCATGTGCACTTACCATATCTTGGGCAGGTGGGGGGTGCCCACCCCCCCTCTTATTTCCTTTTGATTCCTTTTTACAGATTTGCTTCCCATGCCCATCCATCCATCTATGCATGCATGTATGATATGTATGTAACCCCATCATCATCATCATCATCATCATCATCATCATCATCTATTACCCTATTTGTTTGATAATATACGTCATCTCGGGTTTCTTAGGTGGACGTATACAGCTGTAAGGTCATGGAACCATGTTATATTCTTGTGTTGTTCAATTTGCTTTCCATATTGTTTTATCATGCCATGTTATATCATCTGTGATTCGTTTATTCTGTTTCGATTGTTGGTTGTTTAATGTCAGACTTGTTTAGAATGAACATTCTGACCGATTGTAAAGGCAAATGGTAATTTCCTTCTTAACGTGGAAGACCGGTTGATTTTCCTTACTGCATAGAGTTGGTACAGAGGCTGGAGCCACAAAATATAACAATTCCATAGTGGTTTACGATAGAGTTTCAATCGAACTACTATCGAACAACAACCGAATTGGTTCTTGATACGAAACCTGAAGGGTATCAAATTAAACCTAAATACTTTTAGTTTTCGTATACTAAATAACTGTATTTTAAGAGAAAAGATGTCTAATCAGTGTATTATCTAAATGGGTTTTTTTATTATTAATTAATATATTGTCTATAATTGTCCTACTCTAAAATTAATCATTTTCAATTATAAGGTTCATATGGATATATATTACACCTTTATGAATAATGTATATTAAAAGAATAGGATTAAAACTAAAAAAAAAATAGATGTTGATATGATATTTAAAGTCAAAAAATGATAACTAATTAAAAACATAAATAATAATAATAATAAAGATTTTGGTTGGCGAAGAGAGGGGTCGACATTATAAAAATTCGCATAAAAACAAGTTTTTTTTAGAGTGGTTACCTAACTAGATAAGCTTGTATGCTAAGTTTGTAATATTTTTCACTTTATGAATTTTAAGCGTGAAAACGAGGGCCCGCCCCAACCCTAATTGCCCTCGATGTGTTCCACCTATCGACATTATATATTTAATTCATGGATATAACTGTAAAAGTGAAGGCTTTTAACGATAAAACCGAATCAAAGTAAACTAAACTCTTTATTAGATTTGGGGTTTCTAACGATATGATTTAGAAATATAAAATAAATTCAAAATAAATAAATAATTTGATTTGTTTAAGTTTATGGTTTTTATTAATTAGTTAAATAAAATTAAGTCAAATCTAAATCAAGATTTAGATGAATAAATCTTGTATTTGAATCATGGTATTTATCATAATAATTTAATTTAATTTAATTCAACTTTCAATATAAATAAATAAATTCAGAAGGTTCTGTAACCAGATTTTGAGTATAATAACTGGAAATAAATGTTAAACTGAACGTTGAGCAAATAACAAGTATGATTCATCAGTTCAAACTTAATAAGTAAAAAATATTTTAATGGGTCAATGTATAAAATATTAAAAGAAACTAAGGGGTCGTTTACCAAACACTTATCCGAGTAAACGTTTATCAAGTCACATTACCTCACGGGATGAATATGGTAAAGACTAAGAATCTTACTCGGTAAGAGCGAGACAAGAACCATGAGTCTTACCCGGTAAGTGAGAGTGATGACTCTTCCCACGATAAGCGTTTACCGAGTGAATTGTTGCATACTATGTCATTTTGATGGATTAAAATCTTACCTGGTAAGTAAATAATAGTGTTAAATTTTACCGGTAAACACTTACCGGGTAAGTGTTTAGTAAACAGCTCCTAAATGATTCTTATAAATAAATCAATGTGGATATGAATTTCGTATAAATGATAAAATAAATGGATCAAACGGATTTAATAATTGATAAGTTAAAATATTTTTTAGATGATCGAAATTAATCTGTTATTTTTTTTTAATTTTATAAACATTGATATAATAGATATGGTTAATTATGGTTGATAATAACATTTTCTTTGGTCTATTTCTATTTGAGGTAGCATTTGGTACGTAAATATGATTGGATAGAACAAGAGAAAGAGGGTAGGACTAAACAAGACATGATTAGACATAACAAGTATCTGTCTGATCACTGATGTTTGATATGACTAGAACTAGTTATAGCTTACTGCATGTTGTAGCATTCCTACAGCATTGTCTGTTGAAATTTGTGTTTACATTTCACCATAAGTCCTACACCCATGCTACCCTTTAATATTATGTTAATTTATCACTGTTAACTCAGAATCAAACTGAAGTCTTCAATTTCATCATATGAAATCATCTCTTTTATTGGACTCTTATTAAGTCTTTGCTACAATCTCCATGGACGATATTCGGTTTTTACCACTTTATTACTTAGAAAAGACGACATTGGACCATATTGTATATTTGCTTTGTGGTTCCTTTTATAAGTCTAAGGGTATGAAAAATAACCTACCACCTGGCCCGATCAAACAAGTTTATGCTCTATCATTCTTTCTATGCAGTGGCATTGTTGAAGCTGTAAAAGACTTGACACCATATGCAAAGCATAGGCAATGTGCAAGACACGTATATGCTAATTTTCGTAAAAGGTTTAATGGTTTTAAGTACATAAACAATTTTTGTGCAGCAACTACATCTACTTTTGAAGCAAATTTGATGTCACACATGGAAAAGTTTAAGATACTAAATTTTGATGCATATAATCACTTGATTGAAAGACACCCTAATACATGGTGTAGGACATTTTTTTCAACCTGGTAGAGCTTGTGAAGTTGTAGAAAATAGGATTTCCGAGTCATTTAATTCAACAATTGTTGATGCAAGAAAAAAAACTCATAATCAGAATGTTAGATGAGATAAAGATATTTGTTATGGAGAGGCATAACAGAATATTAAGCAAAACACAAGAATAGGAATCGACTGTTTGTCTGGCCATAAGGAAAAAGTTAAAACAAATGGAGAGAAAATCACAGGTATGCTTATCTTTATGGTAATTTTATTATGTATGCTTGTCTATGATGAAAATATGATCTTGTATGCTAATGTATTTTTTTTCGTGTGTAGATTATCCCTAGTGGTGGGAATGTGTTTGAAACACAAAATGGTTATGAAACAATGGTGGTTGATTTAGATGCCAGAAAATGCAGTTGTAGACTGTGGGACATATCAGGCATCCTTGTGTGCATTCCATGGTTGTCATACACTTTATCAATAATGATCCATAGGATTATGTTAGTAAATGGTTTACTAAGGATCTCTTCAAAATGGCTTATGAGAATACTATGAGATCATTGAATGGGAGCAACATGTGGAATCCAACATCTTACACCAAACCAAACCCACATAAGAAGAGAAGAATGCCTGGTAGATCATCTTTCAAAAGAAAAAGATCAGACTATGAGAGCTAAGATACAAAAGTGACTTAATTTGGGAAGGCAATGACATGTAGCAATTGTTTGGAAATGGGGCAAAATGCAAGGACTTGTAAGAATGAAAAGAAGGACCCACCACCTAAACCTGTTAAGCCAAAAGGTAGACCAAGAGTCAACATTCGAAAACCGACTACAACAAGAAGACGCAATATAGGTGGAAGAGTCAATAAAGATTGAAGAGGCGATAGAGGTGGGAGGATACCATCATATGTAGGTGTTTCTTATAATCCAATACAGGAGAAACAACGATTGGGGTTAGCCATTATTTATTTTTCAGATTCAAATAACATTTTCTAATGACTATTGCTTACTTTTACACTTTATCGTCATCATTAAAGACATCATTAGGTGTGTTACAACCAGCATGGCCCGATGACATCCTACCATATTCACTTTTAAGTGAGGTTAAAGACGGTGATGAAGGTGAGACTACTGTTGGTGATGAAGAACATTATGAAAGTGAGGATGTTGTTGGACATCAAGAAGGGGTATAAGAAAGCCACAACCTTAACATAGATTAGGCGTTACTTGGTATATTTTACTGCAACCTTTGGTATAGTTGGACGCAACTTTTGGGCTAGTTTGGTGCAATTTTTGGTATATTTTGCGCAATTATTAGTATTTCTTTGCCCAACTTTTGGTTCGACTTATAATGCCCAATTTTTGTATACAAATTATTTACGCTTTGGATACAACTGTTTGTATGTTTTGGAGAGAGTAATGAGAATGATATATGTGTTTCCTTTTAAAAATGTAAGTATTTTTTTCATTCAAAAAATATTTAGGGACTTAATACTTCGATATATGAAAGTTTGTTGAGTTTTTTTCGGACTTTTCCCATTATTCTACCACATTAACCAGTTTTATAGGTCATAAAGATGTATCTAACAGGTTTAAAAAAGTTCAAGGATTTATTTAACAAGTTTTGGAATATTCAATGACTTATTTGTTCTAAAAAAATGTCCAAGGACTTAATCATTTAAAAGACTAAAGTCCATTGGATTTTATTGGACTTTTCCCTTTTAGTTTCGGTCTCATTCTCATCCCATTTTATCCACCTATTTTGGTGGAATAAGAAAAAACTTTTTTTTGTCCCACACTGTTTTACCTTGTCCTGGTTCTTATCTCTATTATATGTCGCACAAAGCATGGGACAGTGAGTTCTTCTTGTTCTGTCCCATGTCATGCCAAACATGGGAAAGTGAGTTTTATGTCGTCCTGTCCCATGTACCAAACGCAGCCTGAATATCGTATTTAAGTATATTTTAGGTGGCTTCTAAACCACAATGCAGTTTTAAGTCTATTTGTTTGTCATCATTTATATATCGAGGGTGATTGTGAGTTTAAAATGCTCTAGTTGTGTAAATCTTTGTTCATATATAACTCTATATTTTGGTCGATATCGCATGAGAGTTTGATCTTTTTTCTTTGTTGGTTTCGAAGAAACCATCAAACCAAACATGATTAGCATGCAAATGTGCAACGTGGTTCACCTTCGGTTCCATAAATTTAGTGATATTAAAACACCTTCAACAATTATGTTATTTTAGAAATTTTGGAGATTTTATGCTTCGACAGTTATTTAAACTCTCCTTTAAAATAAAGTAAAATAGATAAATCTTTATATTTGAAAAAAAATATAGGTTCAAGTTCAAGGAGAAATAAAAATCCCCTTGTGGCTACGAAGGTTCAAATGCGGTGACTCCGGGTTATCTGCAAAGCAGATGGTCGTCCTGAGATTAGTCGGCTCGCATAACAGGTTGGATATCCAGGTTAATCAAAAAAGAAATATATAATATATATTTTGGAGATGCTATGCTATTAAACATTAATGGAATAAATTAGTTGGATACATTGAACCTCCACCCAAGGAGGAGCTTTTAATGCTTTAATAGCTGTTTAGGGAATAACCAAGTAAATTAGACTTGTTTTTTGGTTAATTATTTTTTCAGAAAGTGATTTAATAAATACAATATGTTTTTTTAAGTATATAATATTTATATACGGTAAATAGAACAAATAAACTCACACACCTTCCTCACTTTTGGTGAGGTTTGAACCATTAACGTCCTAGGAGGCCAATAACTCACATACCACTGGACCAAAGATCTTACCACTAGACCAAAGATCTTTGGTAATACAATATGTTTTCCATGTGAGAGTTGTAAAACTTATTTTTAGTAATAATTAATTATTTTTTTTCATTTTGATTGTTGATCATATTTATTGTTTATGTTCATCAAGGGATGTTTTAGACATTTTCTACAATAATTAAAATGATAATTAGATTTTGTATTTTTGAAATTGGAGAGAGAATTTCTGATTAATAAATCATCTGGTGTTTTTAAAATCATATCAAATCAAACGAACTTTATATATTTCACCTGTAAGTCATCTCTAGCAGATAAATGTAGATATGTTCTCTCTCTCCCATAATGAATGGTTGTTACACCCTTAACTTGTAAAAAAGTAAGCAAAAAAGTATATGTTCTTTAAGATAAAATAAAGCAGAGAAAAATATCATTATTTGAGCAGAAATGATTGACTACCAACAACCCCGAGTGGCCCATATGAAACCCCATCTCTTAAGAACCACGTGTAAGAAGACATTTCAGAGTTGACTCACTGCTGAGGCTAGTGGAGGAGTTCAAGTCCGTCTTCTGTAGAATTTGAACTTGAACCCATTGTGTATTTGAGCAAAGTTACTTTGTCCCTTTGCCAACTGAGCCACACGCTCGAGGGCAATAAAAATTATCATTCTTGTACATTTTCTTTAATTATCTTTGGAACATACGTAAATTATCAATGATATTTTTATATTAATGCAATCATATCAGTTACACTATTTTCGTTCTACTTTATATAAGCTACCTAACGAAAATTATCAATAACATTGAAATGCTTCACATTTTTTTTATGCCAAACTACTCTTCTCTTCATTCATTTGTATTAGAAAAATGAAACACTTTCTATTTTGATTCCTTCTTGTTTTGGTTTTTTCTTTGTAGATAAACGAATATGTTTACATTTTATCTGTTTGTCCATTAACAATTTCTACTGGATATTGGTTTAAATTGACTGTGGTCTATCAAGAAGTATTCTTCTGTATACCACAAAATTCAACGTCAAGTCTTAACCAATAGACTTAGAGTTGTAGGTACTCTATGTAGATATAAATTGGGATACGCACAAATCCACTTCTTGTTCTTACTCGTATAGACCACAACTCCAGTAGCAAGAATAAAAATTCTTCAAACTTGTAGATTTGTAATCTCCAGCATAATACATCCAATTTGTGTTCGATTATCTCTTTTAAAAGCTAGTATACATACTCTTTTCAAAACAATTAACAACAACTCCACCAACGATTTTCCATATTGTCCAGGCTTGTGGTTGCTAATAAGCCTACTGATTTTGCACACTTCGAATGATATCCGGTGCGATACAATGTACAATAGAGGTGTTGCAAATAGAACTCGATTATTCAAGTTTTAAAATCGACGAAATTCCAGTGAAAATCACTCAATGTTTCCCCACTTTAATTCTCATAATTGTACTTGTATGTTTGTGATAAAATCATATGTACATGTCTTCTAGAAGAATCAAGAAATTACATCTAAGAGAAGAAATACCCATTACAGGATTCTTGGTAATTCATCAAACTATACAAATATATCATTCGAAACACACAAGATTCTCGGTAATTCAAGTGTAATAGTCGTAGCCCTCAATTTAACCTTAATGAAAGTCTAGGGTATGTTTGGTAACTTCCTTATTTTTCCACGGACTCATTTTGTAATATGAGAGCTAAAGTGAGTAAACCCCTTTCTTCCTTCTCGTTTGTGATCGATGTCTTCAGGGAGAGCTAGATGGATAGAAGAGTCTGGAAGAGAGGAAGCTCCATCAGTAACCTTGAAGAAGGATTTGGGATTTGTATGTGATGATCCTCATCGTCATAGATGGTTCGATTTTAGCTCTAGTAGCCGTTAGGGCGCGTGGTGGTGAGTCGAGCACCAGGTGAGTTCCCTTGTCCTTTTCTAAATGTGGAATTGTTTAATAATGTATCTAAATCTCTGATTATGGTTTTCGTACCATGCCCTTAAATGATTATTTGTTGAAGCATTGTTTATCACACCTGATATGATTTATGGTTACATATTTAGGCATGCAAAGTTGGATTAATGTCCCTGGGATAGTGGAATCCCATCGGAGTTATTTATTCCACGTGCCATGAATTCGTTTTATGTGCACACTGGATGAGCATCTTCTTGGGGCCTTGTTTTTCATGTCACAATGAAGTGCAGGTGGTCTATAAACACTGTGCTAAGCCCTGGGTTTTGTGGTTTATTAAGAATTTGGATATTGTTGGCCATTACGACAAATCGTTTTATTTATTATGTTAAATACTTTGCATATTTGTTAAGGGACTCATTAGACCTTTTGGTCTAACCCTTGCTTTTCAAACTTAAAACCATTTTCAGGCTAGTGTTTTATAGAAAGCTCTTCTAAAGGCAAATGGAAGGCGTGAGAGGGGCTAGAGAAGACTTGAATTTAGAAGATGGATCGCTTAGTTACCTCGGTTTTAAATAATTCTTAGTTGTAGATGTTTTTATCCGCTGCAAATTGCTGAGATGTACGGATTATCCATAAATTGTCAAACTTTGGGACCATTATGGTACTTTATTCCATCTATCTGTGTTTTAGACATTTGGGTTGTTACATCAAGTTTCTTCAAAATCAGATTATCAAAATGCTTTTGTAAGACACCTCTCAAGATATGTCATATTAAATAGTTGATAAGACAATTTACTTGATGAGTACTTGTAGGTTATCGAACTTCATAGCATCAATTTAATATTTCAGAAGAGTCGAACTTTTAAGTTTTTCCGACTTCGTCATAATAACGTATTGTTTTGTATTTCCATAACACATATGAAGTTGATCTTACACTAGTTGAAAGTCCCATTAATTACTTCTTTTGTTACTAAAGTTGTGGGAATTTTAATATGTCAATTTTGTTGTAGTGAAAAGACCTTATATATGTGTACACATATGTGAATATATATATATATATATATATATATATTGTGTATATAGATATATTACATAGTAAGAAACAATGAAAACCAGCTTGTATGTGTTTTTTCATAGATGAGAAAAATACATGTGAACATGCATCGTTACGTTGCTTTACAAATTAAACGTGAGAATGTTTCACATGTGAAAAAAACACAAAAATACGTTTACACATGAAACACACATTCATACTCATCATGATAACAAAACATATGAAACGATATGAATCATAAATTAAAATCAAATTCATCAGATGTTCTTTTCGATTTTCATGGGTTCGGTTTTCACATGTGTTGTTTGTATCTATAAAACAATAAATCAAAGCAGTTTCCATGGTTTGTAAAAGTTAGCCAATTTTTATATGATGTTTGGTCTATATACATATGTATGTACGTGGTATATATATATATATATATATATATACACACCACATATCTCAAGAGAATCACGGTTTGAGAATTTGCTATCAACTACAATATAAAAGTCAACGATTACTTTAGATCTTAATCCAACTAAAAATAATCGTAAAGAACAAAATTCGAACTCAAAGTAAACGTTTTATTTTCTATTATAAGTCAATTTACCTTAATTTGTTTATCTTATTTTTATTTAGGTTACAAATGCGTTTTCATTTCTCATCAAATAATTTTTTACTGATCCAAACAAATGTTATCTTAACTTATCATTCCTAACAATAAAAATCACGACAAATACTAATATCAATTCCATTTACGACACTAGTCTACCAATTAGACACTGACAGGACGTCACAATCAACCGATAGTTTTTTAACTGATATTTTGTTACAAACAGACGACCATTTTTATAAAAAAAAACAAAACATAAAACCCATTAATAATAATGTTTTTATTTAAAATCGTTTATAATTTTTTTAGGTGTTAAATTTGATGTAAGAAATGAGTTGGATTCAATGAATCCTTCACAAAAGAAAAGATTATTATAAGAGATATTATGCTACTTTAAGATCTTCTTAGGGAATATTGAAATTAAATAAATTGATATTATTTTGTCATTTATTTTCATTAATCAAATAATACCATTTGGAAGTAATATCATTTGCCAACCCCCATGAGGGGTAAATCCGTAATTTTCAAATTGGGTAATTTTTGAAATTGGTGGGGGTTGGAGGAGACCTATCAATCATAAATTAAAGAAGAATTTGACGTATTAAGTTATCGAATATGTTTGTATTTAATAATACAATTTTAAGAAGATAGAAACACTCAAACTTGATAATAAACAGTTCTAGAACGATGTCGTTGTCTCATGGTCAAAAGGGTATAATCTTTTAATAAAAGGATTACAAATTATACTTAAAAATCGTATTGAAATTGCGACTGTCATAGATTCCAATATATCCTTGCTTTTTGACTGCTTCATTTTGCAACGTAAGTTCTGAATTCTTATCTGGCAACAAATTAAGTCATGTTTGACCGTTTGGGCTATATCGTCATTCTTGATGTATTTCACAAGGTGATCATAGTTGCTTCTTCGGTTTATGAGAAAACACATCCATCAACGTTATCGTGTTGATCCTACTAAAAGTCTATAACCTTTTCCTTCTCGTATTTTTTGTTGAGGTAAAATATAGTTGCATAACCTTGTGTGTGTGTATATGTGTGTGTATATATATATAGGGTTGGGTTCACGTGAAACCAAGGGTTTTTCGTGAGACTCGTAAGACCAACTTTATAAGCTAATGATCTAATAGTCTAAAGTTGTACGGTGAAAATTTTGTGATTATTGAGAAGTCTTGTGGCAATTTTGTTTTTATGAATGTTCAGATTGTAGATGTAATCCAATTGTTGAGAATTGGTCTTACAAGTCTCATGAAAAACCTTTGCTCTCACATGATCCCAGCCTATATATATATATATATATATATGCATGCATAGACACACATATATGTATGTATGTGTGTGTATATATACGTATTCATAGGAGGCAAATCAAGAGAATCATAAAAGTTATAAACTCGTGAGAAACGATTAAAAAAATATTATTTAAATGATTTTTTTTATCAAATGTTATAATTTAAAGTATTGTATTTGTTTTATATGTGTTTGTTTTTATCACATGTATTTGTTTCACATTATGAAACTCTTTTACATGTGTTTTTCGTTTCACTAAGCGAACTATAAAAAAGTTTCACATGGATTTTCTTACCATATAAACACAAACATACGTGAAACAATAGCTAAAATCATAACCTTTAGTGAAAAAAAAAATCATATAAACATATTGTGATACAGTGTGATAGAAATATGTGAGTGGGGGTGAACGTGGTGATTGACGGTGTCAAAGTGAAAGGTGCATGCTAAAAAACGAGATGATATCAAAAAATCAATTTGGTTGAGAAAATTATAGCAGTCGCATCATTTATAGATAACTACTAAAAAATTATTTTTAGCTTTTAATTAATTAATTTCAAATTTTAATTAGGAAAATTACTTATACACCCTTTATCCATTATTTAACAAAGAAATTAGCATAAATAATTGATTGATTGAAATTGGATCTCACGATTATCACAAGCAATCAAGTTCTCATTTGATTAGACCATTATATATATAAAGACAACTTAACAATTGTTGTAAAAATAATTAAATTATATTTATTAATTGATTATTACAAAAGAAATGTTTTTTTAACATATTTTGAAACATTTTTACAAACAACTCTTGTGGAATCCCATGAAATACCAGCTAACCCCATGACATTTCTAAATTCAATATTTGTAGGATTTCAATTTCAGGACTTCCCTTTAAATGTGGGCTTGGAATGAAATCCAGTTGCAACTTCAACCAAATCCTGCAAAGAACGAGCATCAAGTGTAAATCATTGAACTTATACCTGATTTCTTAGTGTTTTTTTAACCGTATTTTATAACTATAGTTAAATTTTATTTCATGTTTTAGTAACTATTTTGTGTCACAAGTGACAAATTTCTCGATCCATCAATGTATATACAATACATGTATACACAAATGGGTACATATTTGTATATGTGTATATGTACATACACACTTAGAGAGAGGTTCATTTAAGAAGTGGTAAGCATTTGAGAAGTAAAGAAGTGATCCTAACTTCTATACGATCAAGATTGGTCAAAAATTGTGGGTTTGACCGGTCAAAAATTGCAGCTTTGACTGGTCAAAATTTGCGATTTTGATTGGTCAAGCGAAAAATAAATGGATAGTTTCATAACTTTTATAAATAGGTAGCAAACAAGTGTACATGTGAACTCATAAGTGCACTCATAGTTTAGTTCACATGTGAATTAGTTAATTAGTTCATGTATGAATTATACGGGTTCATATTTAAATCAGTTAAATAATCTATATGTGAATTACACTAGTTCAGTTATGAACATATAATTCATATGTGAATCACACAGGTTCACATATGCACTGTTTTGTTGTCTATTTGCAAACGTTATGAAATTGCCCCCTGTCTTATGCATACCATGCAAGGAATTATCCGATACTTCACAGTCAAAGTCGTAAATCTTGACCAGATGAAGAGCTAATATCACTTCTCTATTTCTCAAATATTTACCACTTTTCAAATGAACCTATGGCTACACACACACACGTATATATATATATATATATATATATATATATATATAAATCTATGTATGTGTGTAGAGAGAGAGGCTTGGGTTTCCGGTGATCGGAAGGAAAATTAGAGGGAGAAACATAAGAAGGTATCTTAATCCTCGGATGCACATTACAATAAGATGCATCGAGATAAGATACACCTGAACAATTCCCGTATCAAGCGCGATTCCTAAGTAAGTTCGAGATTAAAGGGGATTAAGAGTCTAGATCCATTTTTACGTTTCTCATCTGAACTCTTCTTATCACAACATCCTTTACCCAGAGAGAGATACACATACATACGGATATAAAACATTAACAATAAAGATTTAACTTAGTAGTAATTTAGATGTTAGCCCCACACATACATGTATGCGTGCATGCATGTGCGTGCACACACACACACATATAACACTAATCGATGGATAATGAAGTGGTTTAATCGATAATAAAGGTGTTTTGACATGTTATAATTAAAGGTCAATCATTAGTTTATAAGATCAAATCAAGTTCATTATTAAAAAATATATAATAATATATCATTTTGTACGATAAAAGTCGTATTTGATTAAATAAATTCACATCATTTTAAAGCATTCGATGTCAAGATTCTATTAATATTATAAATCAACATTATATCAAGATAAAATCTTAATGAAATATTTGAACCCTTCAATTAAGTTCAAGATATTTGATTAAATAAATCGATGAACAGACAAATTTAATACTGATTTAAAAGAATTTATTCAAAATTCGAATTGGGTGTCAACATTATATGTTATATATCCATTTTAGTGACCTAAAAAACCAAAATCTGTTCTTTTTATTAAGGTTTCATAATTAGTACTAATTAACAATAATAATTATTTTATTTAAAAAAAATATTGAATTAGAAAAAGGAAATTAGTTGGATGCATTGAACCTTTCATCTACAAGAATTATTTTAAGAGATATGATACTACTTTAAGATCTTTTTAGGGAATATTTAATTAAATAATTTCAATTCATTATTGTAAATAAGTGAATTATGGTATTTTTTTATTAACCTGGATATCTAACCCGC